AATCGACGCAACACATGGCGCCGATGACACACCCGTTGGACAGTCGTGTCTGAGGGCCCACTCGACACTTGGACTCCAGGATGTTGTGGTCGCCCATCTGTGGTGACTCCGAGTGTGAGCCCACTTCGAACACGTTGTGGGAACCGATGACCATTGGATGGGTGTCTCGGTTGATGATACGGACCCTCTCCTCAATCAGGTTGGAGTCGCCGATAATGACAGGCCCTTTGGAGGCGTCGATGTGTGCCGTCGGATGGATCACAGTCTTCGCGCCGATCGTTATATCACCCAAAAGTGTGGTCTCTTCGCAGCACACAATGGATCCGAAACTGATTTTCACGCTTTAGTGCCACAAATAAGACGTGAATTAAAATGTATATTAAATATGCAATCATTGATACAAACTTTGGTTTAGTTGTTGACATGTCTTCTCGTAAATGCATTCAATTGTCACTCAATTCAGTGGCAAAACAAATGACAAAATATGACAACAAGTCGTTCACAACAAACGTCAACACAAAAGGGGTTTAATTCATGACATTATTTGTGTGGAGGAAAGGAAGTGAATTGAGACCAATCAGAGAGAGTTGTAAACTCTGTGTCCAATAGGAGAGTGTGTTGTAAACTCTGCTGTCCAATAGGAGAGTGTGTTTGAAAAGTTGAATTCATTTCATGTTTTGAATGAATTGGAGCTAAAAGTTGAACAAAAAGTGTTAAGCAATGAGTGGTTGAGTGAGGGTTGCAGTTAAAGGCTGACCACAAGTCAAGTGAGTGTTTGTGCGGAATGGCGTCCAATGTGTTGAAGAGTCTTAATGACTGCTATCACTTCAGTAGTGATGACACGAATAGCACCACAAAAGCCAAACGAAGACCACAGCCACCGAAGTCGGCGACCAAGAAGTCGGTGAGAAGTGCGAAGCGATGCCAACTGTTCGCAGACATCGTGTCTGCGGCCGTATGGGTGCACGGCGTGCGAGCGGACAGTCGTGTGGCCGCGGACTCAGTGCTCGAGATGTTGACGAGACATATGCTGGACGGCTGCACATGTGTGGCCCTCTCCTCCACATACCTCCTCATAGGTAACACACATTTGGAGCGCTTTCTGCTGAATGTGAACGACTTCGAGAGGAAAGTGGACTCCGAGGAGAAGACATCGCAGACCACCACTGATTGCAATAATAGCCACAACCCGGCCATCAATGATATACACGTCCAGAAGGACAGCAAATTGGACTCGAATGTGATGCCAGAGTTGGTGGACATGAAGAACGTGTCGGCGCTGTTGGCACCGGTGGACGAAGCGGTTGACCACTGGAGTCTCGCCTTAGCTTCCGATGTGAAGAGCCGCGTGTTGTCCGAAGAGATTGTAGTGAAGATGCGGTTGTATTTATGAAGAACGTGTCGGCGCTGTTGGCACCGGTGGACGAAGCGGTTGACCACTGGAGTCTCGCCTTAGCTTCCGATGTGAAGAGCCGCGTGTTGTCCGAAGAGATTGTAGTGAAGATGCGGTTGTATTACAACTTGTATTCAGTGATAGAGATCTACGGCTTCTATAAGCGATTCTCGTCGAGATTTAAAGCCACGAAACTGTTGAATGAGTTTATCACTCAGTGTTCAAACAAATACTCGGAAATGGCTTTAATTGCTAATTACTATTTGGTCACCAATTACATCCATTTGGGAGCTCTTCGTAAAGCGAAAGCTTCTTTGATTCAAATCACATCTTCGAGTTCTGCAAGTGCTTACCAATCAATGCCTGATTCCTTTGGAAAGTCTCTCAATTTGTTAGCGAAATGTGAATTGAATTTAATGAGTGGTCGACCAGAGAGGGCCGCAAAGACTTTACAACTGTTTCTCGAATCGGATTATCTCTTGAAGTTAACTATAAACCGCTATTATATCAAAGGGCTGACCCTGATGTTGGCCACCAAATTCACTTCACAACAGTTTAACTTTTCCAAGAATTTCCGTGAATTCTTAGAACCAATTCAGATGTCTGTTTGCATTCTCAAGCGATGGCATCCCTGGCTTTCCCCCAACAGAGCTAACAATGAGAATGTTATCAATTCTGGAGATGTAGACCCGCTTTGGTACAGGTATTGAACACAAAACAGTATTTAAAGGCCTATAGGTTTTCAAATGACTTGAGTTATACTTTTAGGTACGGAGTGATGAGCTTTGCTTTCGACGCCCTCACTCTGTCCACCAATTTCTACATAAACATCGAGATTCCCAGCGATTCCTTCCATTACTATAACTCACTCTTGCGATTGGGTCGACGCCAGTGTGCGACCGTTCGGTACGACCCTATCGTTTGGATTGTAATTCACTTGAAATAATAATCATTGATTTGTTTATAGTTTGTCGGAGTTATTAATAATTGGGTCCAAATTGGATGTCATTTGTGACCACAAATACGCGGCACAAGCAAAGCTGAACAACGCTTCCCTAATACTTCAATCGACTCTTTTGTCGTCCGATTCGTCTGTTTTTAGTTCTGATTCTATAGTTTCCTCGATATCTCCCCAAACGAAACAACCAAACACTGGGTTAAGAGATGCTCGACACCAGTCTCTGCCAATTGATCCCCAGATTGACATTAAGTCTGCCGACTGTTCAGCTGATGTGCATCCATCGGAATACGATGACTGCGAACACAATCACATGTCCAGCGCATGGGAAGTGAAGCAAAAACTTAGAAATATTGATAATAATTCTGACGATTCGTCCGAAGATTCTATACTAGAAAGAGATAAGTCTTTTGGTTTCCAGACATTAATTGATGAAAAGAGTTCACAAGAAATACTTGACTTATTCTTGATTGCCGTCGAAATCAGTTTTAATAAGCTTTTATGCAATGAAAACGATGTTAAATATATCCTAAAGAAGTTAAATGGCGTTCATATGAATTGTCTCGAGACATATGCATCCGAGGTATTGATGCATAGAATTGAAGAACTTATTGGGAAAATGGATTCACAGGAAATACTTGACAATTACTCCAATTATAGGTCATTAAAGTTAAAAATCATTGAAACGATTGCTAGACTTGAGGTGGATATCAAAGAATACGAAGAGGCCGTCAATACATGCCATCGAATAACTATTTCTCAGACATACTCTTATGGCGAACGTCTCAGTCAATCAAACCTCTTATATTTGAACGCCTTCTCTATGTTTGCCTTATATTTAGACAAACATCATATCAAAGGAGATAAGCTTTGGGTTGAGTTTAACAGCAGTCGCTTCGAAAGCGTCGGTGACTTGTCATGTCATTCGCCGCAAGTGTTAACCCCTCCCAGAGCTAACCCCCTTAAGAGTATGGCCCCAAAGGCTCCCAAACACAGAGCATTTAAAAATACTGAGATTGAGGATTATGTGACCGCGCTCTCCAATAAACTGTACGACGAGTCCAAGTCTTCCACTTCTTGTCAAACGAGCGATACAAACATATTTGGATCCAAAAATAATTTGAAACTTTTTGAAATGGATTCCGAAATGCGTTCACTTTCCGTCTCTGATCTAAACTCAGCCACTAATTTGAAGTCCGATGTTATCGTTGCGGACGTCTTCTCGAAGCCCAAGTCTAAGCCGAAGTCTATTGTTAATAAACGCACCACTCGTTCGTCTTCAAAGCTAAACGAAAACATTTTAAATATTGACGAGAAATCGTCGAAACGTCTCAAGTCGTCGAGTAATAAGTCGTCGAAAGGAAAGACTAGTGAAGTGTCCGACAGTGCGAAAGACTTGCAATTTGTAGATTTGGAGGAATTGGATGATGTCTTCGAACAAAAGCTTGTGATTAGCGATGAAACCAAAGTGTTTTCTAAAGAAGATTCATATGATTTGCAATCAATTGTCGCACTATTGAAAACAGGGTTCGGTTTGATGGCCTCTCATCCCAGTTGTAAACTCTATGTCTCTATTCATAAACTTTTGGCACAAATATATTCAATGGAAGAGATGGTGAATGAAAGCTTTGTTGGCTACCATTACTGCGAAACCAATGACTTTAACTATCGGTACAGAAATCTATTCATCGCTGAAAAGAAGCGCAAAATGAACCGATCCTTAAAATATGACTTAAATTGTATTACATTTAATGCACAAAACATTGATTCAAGCAATTCGTATAAAAAGTTTACCGACAGTTTGCCAGATGACTGGCGTATTATTCAGATTTCCACTGTGAATACAGAATCAAAAATTCCTCAATTAATGATTTGTCGCTTTCAAAAGAATCGAAAACCAGTTTTCTTGAAGATATCGAGTGATCCACAGAGGGTTTGTGTCCATTCGTAATGATATATTTTTTGTAATTAACATTTTGTCCATAACTTTCAGATTATCAAACATTTTGTGACCCATTTCACGGAAATCATTGAGAGGTCGAACGCGTCCATAACGAACAGGGATAGGGAGACCTTCTGGAATCTGCGGCACTCTCTCGATGACGAACTTTCGCTGCTTTTACGAAGCGTTGAGGAGACCTGGTTTGGGGCCTTTCGGGGCATTCTTTTGGGACAAATTCAGAGCAAACGCTATGAGCAGATGTGCAATACGTTGATGGCTTACATCATGAATTTGGCACAAAATGATGGTCTTGTGTGTAACAGCAAAAGTCTGTTTAAAGTGATGGTCGAGTCGTTGCCGTCCCTTAAGTATCACGAATACAAAGTAGCGATGAAAACGCTTTTCAACTCTCCTTCAGACGATCTCATATTGAAATGCTTTGAGAAATACGAACAACTCTTTTGTGAGTTCTTTCCCATTGATAACAAAGAAGAGGTTTTCACAACATATGGCTTATCACCGGTCGGTTTAATTCTCGACAAATCGTTACAAAAGTTTCCATTTGAATCTCTGCCAACACTTCAGGCCTATAATCAATCCATATTCAGAACTCCATCTCTAAGAATACTATCCCTTATGTACAATACATTTAAGGACAATATCTATAGCAAAGGTGTGGACGAGTCGAGTGTGTATTATGTGGTGAACCCGTCGGACAACTTAGAGAAGACTCAGGACTTCTTCAAGGAGTCATTTATGGCAAGGAGTGAATGGAATGGAGTTATAGGACGAGTGCCACAACCAAATGAGTTGAAGAATGCATTGAATTCGGCGGACACTTACATATACTTCGGTCACGGGGCGGGCGGCACCTACTTTAGGACTATACCCGACGGCTTGGATGGTTGTCACATAAACTGTGCCTCTATTGTGATGGGTTGCAGTAGTGGTCGACTCACATCCGAAGGCAAACATCTCGAACCTTATGGAGCGGCCCATCGGTTCATAATGAACGGCTGTCCCTGTTATGTGGGTGTTCTGTGGGACGTCACCGACAAAGATATCGACAAATTCTCCGATCAATTGCTCACCTATTGGTTCTCTAAATGGAAGCCAGAAGTGAATGACACCAAACGTAAGACAAATGTGTCCATCGCTACAGCCGTCTCGATGTCCAGAAAGGTGTGTCGACTGAAGGCCCTGATCGGGGCGGCCACTGTTGTCTATGGGTTACCCCTTTCCACTAGGACTTCCACCAATTAATGCATTCCACACATTGTATTGTAAATTGTTTTATACACTATTTTCTAATATTTATCACTTTTTACATAAGTTATTGTATTTAAGATATAGTGAAGAGATATATTGATATATGTTTTAGAGTCAGAATAACACTATTTCTAATATTTAGCCAAATATACTGTAATCTGATTATTTAATTTTGAATTAATTTGAATTAAATTAAATGTTATGATTTTATAAACTTATTGCCAAAAGTATTTCAAAACTTTTCTCATAGGTTTGCATTCAATGTACTGTTGTTTATGAATAGAGTGAACATTACATCATATGTTTGGCAATGTTTACGAAACACTGTTTACACAGATTTGGTGGCAATCGGTGGACACATGTGTTGACACATGTGTTGACAACACAGACACTCAGGGCATCGACGGCCTGTCCAACGGTTCTCGGCATTGAGACCTCTTGTGATGAGACGGGGATTGCAATCGTTGACCAAAACGGCTCAATACTCGCAGACGTGTGTCGATCGCAACTCAAGACCCATCTGTCCAACGGGGGAATCATTCCTCCGGTGGCCCGAAGTCTGCATCAGAAATGCATCGATGACTGCGTCCGTCAGTGTCTTGAAAGGGCGGACATGAGTGCCGACCAGTTGTCTGCCATCGCAGTCACTGTCAAACCTGGTCTTCCTCTGTCTTTAGTGATCGGCAAGAATTACGCCAAAGCTTTAGCCCTGAAGTACCGAAAGCCAGTGATTCCCGTCCATCACATGGAAGCGCACGCTTTGATGGCAACCATTAATAACCAAAGCCTTGACTTCCCGTTCATTACTCTTCTGATATCCGGCGGTCACTGTCTTCTGGCGATTGCCAGAGATATCACAAAATTTGAACTCTTGGGCCAATCGATAGACTGCGCGCCGGGGGATGTGATGGACAAAATCGCGCGAAGACTTCGACTCCGAAATCTGGGTCCGCCTTATGACGAGCTCTGCGGCGGAGCAGCTCTTGAGTTATGCGCCAAAAGCGGGGATCCATTGAAATACATAACTGATGTCAACCAATACCCGATGTATTGCTCACCACAGCGTTGCTGTCGATTCAGTTTCTCTGGTTTTCATACACTTGTCTTCAGATTAATTGAAAATCTCGAGAAGAAGTCACAGACACCTCCCGATGGCGTCCTATCGGAAGCCAACGATATCTGTGCGTCCATTCAATACGCCATGACTTTTATGTTGATTAAAAAACTTCAAAGAGCTCTCATTTTTATCCGTTGGAACGACATGTTTGAAGGAAAGCCTATAAAACTAGTGATAAGTGGTGGATGTGCTTCCAATGAGTTCATAACTAATACCATCACAAACTATTGTCACTCCGAAGACATTGAAGTCCATATTCCTCCTAAGAAATTATGTTCTGATAATGGAATTATGATCGCATGGAATGGTGTCTTAAAACTACTCAATGAACATAAATATCCAGATCTCATCTTAAGAGATGAGCAATTGATTCAAGAACTTGATATCACAGGGAAAGCCTCATTCGGCGAAGATATTAGTCATCAAGTGATTAGTGAACACATTAAATGTGACACTTTTGATGTCAAACAGTTTATTAGACAATAAAGTTATATTTTTAATATTGGTTATTTTTTAAACAAAATAAACCGGGTATAAAAAGTATAAGAATATTCTTTAAGTCAAACCAAATATGAGTTCACTTGAGTATTTTCGGGGCCTCTATATTAAGACGGGATGCGATCCGGTTCTGTATTATTGTATAAACGAGTTATTAGTACTTAAATGATAATACCGTATGTTTTCAATGATATTTACAGCGAAATCAATTTGATTGATATGGTATGCAATGCCTCCCTGAGTGTCGCACTTCTCCATGTGCTGCCTTTCAGGATCGCCGGCCACTAATACATTGGGCTGTCCTGCAGCAGGTTCTTGGTTACGGCACGAGTCTATCAAATCAGACATTCTGCCATTAAATCCCGGTGCAAACGATCCTGGATTTATTGCGATAAAACATTGACCCTGTCGTAGATAATGATTTTAGCAGGGTTTAATATTTAAATTGATTTAATCTCAATACCAAATTAGCAGTGATGTGATTATCACCCCATTTCCTGACATTAGGTGCAACTGCAGAGCCCGACAGTATAGCAGTGAACACCTCGACCATCATTGCCAAGCCGTAGCCCTTATAGCCGCCTAAACAGCAGTCAATTAGCTATTAATGAATTCAATAATTCAATGAATTACTTGATTTCTCGACGCCTCCTAACGGGAGCAATGCGTTTAGTTTTTTGGGATCAGTTATCTGTTCTCCATCTTTATCAATGGCCCAATTGTTGGGAATGGATTCCCCTTTCCTATCAGCCAACTCCACTTTACCCAATGCCACCACCGAAGTGGCCATATCTAACACATAACTGTCCCCATTATTGGCCGGTGCAGACAATGACATTGGATTTGTTCCAAAAAACGGTTCTTTTCCTCGAGTTGTGGCCATTAATGGTGAAGCGTTAGTGAACGACATTCCCTGATATTATAGTAAATATTGATAATTTAAATAAGTTTTTAAATAAGTATTTAAATAAGTTTTCATTCTAACCATTAGATTGTGTTCTAAGGCTAGAAGACTATAATATCCGGCGATTCCGAAGTGATTGCTGCCTAAGAAATGATTCAATTGTCTGTATTATATGTAATCCGTATTATTAGCAATGAATTGAACAAATCTCGACCTTTAGCCACAACCCAACCAATGCCGGACTCCTTGGCCTTCTTGATGGCCAGATTCATGCAGAACTTGCCGACAACGGGTCCCAACAGATTGTTTCCGTCCACCCAAGCAGTGGCCGCCGACTCCTTCAGAACAGTTGGCTCTCCATCTGCTTTACACGCCTTTGTGGTGATGTCTTCCAGATATAATTCTGTTCCCAAATGTAAGCCATAATTGAAAATAGCACCAAGACACTTTACATGGTTAATGTAAATTGTACATGGTTAATTGGTTAAATTAAAGACCTAATCTGTTGAGACCGTGGCTGAAGTGTCCCCTATAGTCACCGGCAACCAACACATCGGACAAGATCTCTGCGTGAGATATATTAGTGCCGACGGCTATCATAGCCCTCTTCATGAAAGACTGGATCTCATTGCGAGATATGATTTGATACGACATACTCTCCACTATTATTATTCACAATATGTTATTCAATCAATTATAATCAACTCACTCTCAGATTCACCGTTGTATGTAGATTTAGATCACCCTGAATACTGTATTTGAATTTATAAGACGTAAATCGTATGACATCCCAGTCTTGGCCTTCACTTATGAACTGAAATAAGATCTCTGTTTGTATTTGGGTTCCGATGAACTTGTCCTTCAATATGATATACAGATTGTATCGTACATTGCATTCAATCCATTCATATAGTGCTAAATCTCAAGTTAGGCTCATATTCACACTCATGGTCTTCCCAATCGTTGCAATTGTTTGAAATTTTTTTTTGCTATTAATGCTAATTAACACCAGAACTACACAATCACTATTCAATAGTGACTATTTTGTCTGTATATCTAATTTAATACAAATGTTTTCAATTAATTTTTATTTAAAGTTATTTGTGTTCTTAAAATTTTTTATAAATCTTATCTTTGTATATTTTAAACATTGATTTATTCCTTATTAATTATAAAATATTGAATGAATACTAATTTATAACACTTTTACTAATTTATTTAAGATTTAATAACTAAAATAAATTTGTTAATTAACAAATAAAACAAAATAGGTAAGTTTTACCAATGATATATTTTACATATTTTTAAATTATAATATCATTATACCAGTATATATAATATATTATATGTTTAAATTAATAAATAATTATTGTATTTGTATATTCTCCGGGAAATTTATAACAAATATATTGAAAATATTATAAATTATATTAACAAATATATTGTCTTAAAAATAAATGTTTATTTAAATAGAATTCCGAATGACTTTGTTAAATTATAATGCAAACACTATAGATCATCATTCTAGATAATAAGTTTGTAATTCATTTTAGATTCTTTATATATTTGTAAGTTTAGGAAATTCTATATTAATATATTCACCGGTTATTCCTATTATCTCTAACCTCTGAATACGGAGAAGATTATTGAAACTTTTGTATGATTAGTAAACTAATTATATAGTTTGTTGCATAGTTTATTTGTTACTTTACTTATTTAAGTTTATTTAAGTTACCTATTATCTGAGACCACATCCAAGTGTTAATCTCTTATACGGTATAGTGCACCTATTTGTGAGTTGGAGTTAAAACATGCATTAAACTTTATAGAAAGTGAATCGAGTAGGACTCCCTCGGTTAGCTTTATCAATATCTACTTATACTTTAGTCTTATTAGGTAGAGTAATAGCTAAAATTTAGCTGTTAAATGATCTTATTCTGTTTAACAATTTAATATAAATAAATTCATTACAACTAAGATTGTGCAATATATTTTACTTATTGACAAATATAGGCACTAAATATAATTTTAACACATTTTATTTATATTTTAAATTGTCCTATTATTTAAATTAAAGAGTGAATAATTGTAATTTTTCATAAATATTTATTTATAAAATTATATAAAAAATTAAATAATATATTATACAGTATTAATTTAATTATTTGAAAATAAAAATCATACATTATTTTTAGTTATTTATAATTTAAGCAACTTAAGTTTAATTAAATGGTTTCATAGTATTAATATTTGAAAATAAATAAGTGAATAATTGATAATAGAAAATATTTATAGATTGTATGAGTAAATACAATAATTAATGCAATTATAGGTTAATAGAGGTTAAAAGAGTTAAATGGATAAATACAGTAAATACAATAATTATAATACAATAAAATATAAATAAACAAATATTTATAATAATACAATAGAATTTATTTTCAAACATAACATTTATTTAAGATATAATAATAAATATTATTAAATTGACATAGCATTTAACTTTCAACTCATTAAATCAATATTATCAATATTTTAAAATGACCAATACAAAATAATTACAGTTAATTATGAAATACTGTATAGTATTTCATTAATATTTCCAACAAATGTACAGTAAAATAACGCTTATACAGTACTTTCTCAGATTTGTTAATCAATTTTGTACTAAATATTGTTACCATAATATGAGACAATATTATGCATTTGAAAACCTTAAATTTGGGTCTATCTGTAAGATCTATATAAACATATTTTCACACAAAATTTCAAGTTTGGAAAAATGCTTAATACATTTAATGTAATTATAATATTGTCTTATAAATTATAATGTTATAAAATTATTTTGTATGGCTCAATTATATATCAACTAGAATAGAAAAATATGTAAGGGTCTCTCTCTCTCTCTCTCTCTCTCCCCTTACATAAACTTTTGAGCCATAAGATTTTTGAGCTAGATTAAAGCATACTAAACAGTCGAGT